AGCTGATCTTGACCTCTTGAGCTCAAGCTCACCTGGGATTGAGGCATGAGCTGGGATCACAGACATGAATGACTATGCTCAGCCAAATATGTAGTCTTTTATGTCTGGCTTCTTACCCTGAACATAAGGTTTTCACAGGTCATCTATGTTGTAGCAAGTCTCAGTCCTTTGTTCCTCTTTGTGACTGAATAATGCTCCAATTGTATGGACATACCACACCTTGTTTTTCATCAGTTGATGGATATTTGGGTTGTTTCTGCTGTTTGACTATTATGAATAATGCTGCTAGGAACATTCATGTATAGATTTGTATGTGGACATAGATTTTCCATTCTTTGGGGTAAATACCCAAGAGTGGAATTGCTGGGCCATATGGTAACTCTATGTTTCACTTCTTGAGAAACTGTTTTCTAAAGTAGCTGTATCATCTTATGTTCCCACTATGTGGGAATGTGTTATCATTCTAATTTCTCCACATTCTCACCAACACTTATTAACTTTCTTTTTTATTACCGCCAAGAAGATAACATTGGAGCCAAGATTTGCAGGCACTGTGGGAATGAACCATGTAGATAGCCAGGGGAAGAGACTTTCAGGCAGCGGGAGCAGCCAGGGCAAAGCCCTTGAGATGAGAGTGTGCCTGATGTGGCCCAGGAACAGCAAGAAGGACGACGTGACTGGAGAGGTGTGATTGGAAGAGCAAATAAATAGGATGAGGTAAGAGAGTTTACAGGCTGGGGAAGACAGTGGCCAAGTACGGGTAGTTGGAACCCATCTAAGGGACTTTGGTTTTTACTTTAAAAGAAATGGAAAGCCATTGAAAGGTTCTGGAGCAGAAGGGTGACACGATTTGACCTACATGATAGCAGTATCATTCTGACTGCTGAATTATATGTGGGCAAGGGTGGAATCAGGGAGAATGGAGAGAAAAATGGTAGACTCTTGCAATAATGGTGGCACGCAAAGGTGGATGGTGTCAGGGAGGTGGTTAGGAGTGGTTGAATTCAGTGCATGTTTTAAGAGAGGGAAGTAACAGGATTTCCTGACAGACTGAGGGTGGAATATGAGAAAGAAGGGAGTCAAGGAGGACTTTATGGCTCACTTATTTTCACATCGAGATGTATTATATCAAGAAGTATATTCAAATTCATTTCTTCACTATTAGGTCAGATCCAAAGAACTTAATTAAGGCAAGTTCAGATGTATTAAAATACTATTCATGGTAATAATAGTAATAATAATTGTTCCCTATAATTTATTAAACATCAGGTCCAACCATCTCATGAGCAGGTATTATTTTCCTCAATGTATAAATGTGTGAGCAACGGTGTGATGATTTCCCTAATTTTTGACCCTGTTTCCGATTTAGGGCCAATCAGAGAAAGCCAAATATGCACCCCTAACCGGTCACCTAGGATGCCTTGCTTCTAGCTAGCCTGCCCACAGTGTCCCCATACCAACAACAATCTGGATGTATCTGAGACCTTTCCTCTTCCACTCACAGCTTTCCCACTCCTCTGCCTGGCTCTGAGTCTCTGCCCAAACACAAGTGATCAGCTCGCTGGCCACAGCAAGCTCTGCGTGAACAGCCTCTGCTGTGCTCATCTGGTTGGCCTTTGTTTATTTCCATAGGGGTCTTAGGTCAGGCTCCCCAGGAAAAAGACTCAGAGTGAAGACTCGTGTGCTGCTTTATAGGGGAATACTCACGGAATTGATTGTTGCAGAAGTTGAACTGTGACACAGTTGCACTAGCAAGGGTGTCCAACCTTTTTTTTTTCTCTGCTGCACATTGGAAAAATAAGAGTTGACTTGGGCTACACGTTATTAAATACACAAACACTAAGGGAAGCTGATTAGCATAAAAAAGGCCTGCGGACATCTTTCATGATATTGGGCAACAAAGATAAGCAAAAAAGTCCTTAAAAAAATCAGCATGCAGCTTGCAGGTTGTAGGTTGGATACCCCTGCATTAGAGGTTTCAGCTGACCCCCATGGGGAGTCCCAAGGCTGGGCTGACCCTTCAGAAATATACCCTGGATTAGGATTAGACGCAGACCATCCTTAGGGAAGGACAGGATGCTGAGATGGGGCAGCTCTCCTTGACCGAGAGCAAGTCCAAGCAGGGTCTCAGCTATGAGCCCTCAGTTGCCCACCCTCAGGCAGCTGGGGAAGAAGTGCTGGGACCCCTTCCGGGGGAGAGACCAGGTGACCCCAGCCAGCACACACTTGACAGCAGATCAAAGTTGACTGGAACCCAACTTTGCCAGGTTCAAAGCTTTTTTCACTATAGCCTAAGCTGTCACTACTCAGAAAACCGATTTACAAAGGGAGATTTTCGTGAACACTCCTGTGCTTTCCTCTTCGTCCAGAACCAAGACCATATTTGTACAGTGACTCAGACATTTTTAGCGAATGATTTAGAGAGCATATAGCAGTTGGCTCCATTGAATATGGCATTAAAAGACCTGAAACAAAGCCCAACCCGACCAACCAAAAGCAGTTAGCTAAACCACACGTAGACAGTCCCACCATCTTAACATTACAGGCCTTTACCAAAGGCTTCCCCCTCTCAGGAGAGCATTGTGACATCAGCTTTCCAGCTGGAAATGCTGACACACTGAAAATAAATTGATATGAAAATAGTATCATTCCCACTTCAAGGAGATTCTTCCTCTGGGGAATATTATTCTCTCTTAGTCAACATCCTGACAAGATATATCTTAGAAGTTAGTAAATATTAATCTATTCTTTAAGACACTTTCACTCTCTTACTTTGTTGCTAGTGTTATATGACTATTCCAAGATTTTCAGCTTTATTTGAACTATTGACTATTTTTTTTTTTAAGGTTTACAAGTAAATTAACTGGACCTAATAATGGGAGCTTACCTGCAGAGTATCAAAAATATATATCAAGTTCTATATGCAAATAGGTCTGAATAGGCCCTTTCTCTGTAAACAAGTCTATAAATGTGCCTTTGTTTTAATCTGTCAGCATATTCCCTCACCATCATATGACCTTTTGAATACGTTAGTCATTGTTCCCGGAATGTTTTTTTTTTTCCCCGTATTCCCTGGAAATTCCCTCACACTCATCCCAAGGAAAGTTTGTTACCTCTTGATGAACCTGTTATGGGATTTGAGCTAATTTGTAATCTCAGGCATCTTTTGCCCATCAGTACTTATAGTTCTTAAACTTTGGGCCCTAATAATTATTAGGGGGACCTATTAAAATAGAGGCTATCAGAGATTCGAGTCATAGCTAAAGCATCAGAATTTCTGGAGGCAATGCTCAGACGAGTGAAAACTTAAAGGCCTCAGCCTGAAAACCACTTGCAAACAAATTCTAATAACCAATACATGTAGTTTTCTGGCTGTAGAATATCAGGATAAAAGTGACATTTGGAGTGTTCTTTTCTAAGGCTATGTGTGTAGTGGCGCATTATGGAAGTAGAATCAGCAGGCTGGATTTTGCCAACACTGATCCATCTTTATGACAAGGCCTATTAGAATGGGAACCGTACAGATGCAGAGGATAGGGACCGATCGAAGAAAAATCGCTATAGAATTGGCATGGCCCAGTGATTGCTGCAATGTAAAAAAAAAAAAGAAAGACAAAGATAATAAAGGATTTGAAAATTACTTCAAAGAAAGAGAAGATGGGGGTACTGGAAAAATGGCTATGACAGAAATTACCGAACAAATAAAATTCCTGGACCCTGCATCAGCTCTACTGAACCTCTGATGTGTGAAGCTCTCCCAGTATGACACACCCAGTCAATGGGCCAGCATTTGGGAATCACTATTTCAGAGACCACAGAAATAAGGGAGACATAGTGTTTGTTTTTAAAGAATACACAAACTGGTACGGTAAGCCCTGTGCTGTCCACCTCTCCGGGCCCTATCTTATTCCTGGCTTCCGAATTTTACTCATGATGGTCTTTTTTTCCTCTGAAATGCCTTTTTCTCATCTCTGCTCTAAAGGTATTATCTGTCCTTCAAGATCCATTCAGCTGTGAAAGGAACTGGGACCATGTCCTCTATCTGTCTGCCGCCACCCTTCTAACCCCACATCCTTTACACAAGCAAATACAGGCAGTCTCCAAGTTACAAACATCCGACTTACATACAACTTGCACTTACAAAGGGAGGCGATTACAGGTAATAGGTAAATGTACCTGTTCTGACTTACATACAAATTCAACGAAGATCAAACTTACAGAACCTATCTTGTCTGTAACCTGGGGACTGCCATCAAATCCACCCTCGTAACATCTGCTCCACCCATGGTCCCTTTTGCATCTCCCCTCCACCTCGTTAGCCCACTCTTAACCCGAACAGCCTTGTCACCAACCTCTTACACTCCCTCTGCCCTTCTACTTGCAATTTATTCTTCGTGGTTCTATTCATCTATCACATTTTTTTTTTCTTATTGAGACCGAGTTTCACTTTGTCACCCTCACGCAGCTCACAGCAACCTCAAACTCTTGGGCTCAAGCAATTCTCGTCTCAGCCTCCCCAGTGAATGAGACTACGGGTGTCCGCCACAATGCCCAGGTATTTTTTGAGGCAGGGTCTCACTCTTCTTTAGGCTGGTCTCCAGCTTGCGAATTCAGGCAATCCACCAGCTTCGGCTTCCCAGAGTGCTGGGATTACAGGCGTGAACCACCATGCCTGTGCTTTCTTTTCTGAGCCATCAGAGGTTAAAATGGGGGAAATCACCAAGGGAGCCAATACTTGATCACTCAGCGCACTCAATATTGGGGGAGAAGGACAGCGGTTTGAAGTAGATGTGTTAAACAATGCTTCCAGAAGTCTCTGTGAGTCATAGGGTAAAGATAAATTGTTTTTTACTTTTTCTGTGATTCACCAACTTCCACCCAATTACAAGGTTTTCTTAATAAAACCAATGTATGGTATTTTTTTTTTAAATAAGTTATCCACCATAATACAGAAACTGCCAGAATTTTATTGGGGAGAAAGTCAGTAGGGTGAACGGCAACCTGTGTAACTTTAGGAGGGTAGCAAGTCTTCCACTTGCAAATTCAAGAAAGGCGCAATAATCTCCCGCAGCTCCCACATTGTGCGACGCCCCAGCATTCTAGGGAGCACCCTCTCAAAGATAAACGTGGCGTCAAAGAAGAGCGTGTAACATGACAGTCCAGTGAACACGAGGACGTAGAACATGATGAAAATCCTCAGTGCACATTTCCTACAAGGAAAGAAAACACTTGTGTTGAGAAAATTGGTAGGACCCCAGCTCTTCCACTTCAACTTCGGTTGAAGTTTCAGGTCGTCCTAAAACTTGAGCTAAGTCTTTGAGTTGCTCTTCATTCTGCATCTGTGAAAGAGAAGCTTGGAGCAGAACACACTTAAGGCCAGGCTAGGGGTGGCATACAAGCCTCTCTATCCAGGAAACAATGCATAGAGAGGCTAGAGGTTGTGCGGCTCTTTTTCCTCTGAAATGGCCCTCTCATATTCTAGCTGGTTAGTGCAAGCTTTACCTCACTTGTGAAGCATATGATGCCTATTTGGGGCAAAGATAGGCTCAGGCAATTAGATTCCTCCCCACCCCCTCACCCCAGACCCAAAATATAATGTGATAAATGGAATTAAGCTAGCTTTTGTCCTGGCACCAAACTGTTTGTTTGAGACAGAGTTGCACTCTGTCACCCTGGGTAGAATGCTATGGAGTCCTCATAGCTCACAGGGACTCTTGGCTTGAGCAATCCTCTTGTCTTAGCCTTCCCAGTAGCTGGGACTACAGACACCTGCCACTATGCCTGACTAGTTTTTCTATTTTAGTAGAGATGGGGTCTTGCTCTTGCTCAGGCTGGTCTCCAACTCCTGAGCTCAAGTAATCCACCCACTTCGGCCTCACAGAGTACATCGAGCCCGAACTGTTTTGTTTTTTTAAACAGAGCAATATAAGCTTTTTCAAATCGATTGAGGACTCCTCCTTCTGGGCTGGTATATTTTATTTATTTGCTTTTAAGTCCTTGCATTATGATTTCCTAATTATAAATGCAATGTATGATTAGGATAGAAAATCTGGAAAATCTTGAAAAACACAAAGAAGAAAAGAAATGTCACAGATAATCCAATTAACTTAGATAATTACCATCTACAATACATTTCAAAAGAGAAACTCCAGAGCACAGCCAAAGTTAGCTGTGGATCTATTTTGTGACCTAACTCAGTGGATTCTATAAACTAAGTTTCTTGCCATTTTCCCCACCAGCTATCTCTTGGCAGAAATAATTGCTTTTAATTTACACATTTATCAAAGAGCCAATGTTCTGAAGGTGTTCTATTAGGAAAGAACTTAGAGATGTCCTGCCCTCCAGGAGCACTAAATCTAGATTTGTTTTTTTTTTATGAAAAGAAAAACAACTACCCTATAACTAGCAAAACATATCTAATAAATAAACACTAGTCTTCTTAAATTAAAAAACTAGTCATGTTTGCAAATACTAAGCTTGAACAATTTCAAAGAAATATATTTTAACATTAAGTTTTAAGTGAAAAACAATTTTCTAAATCACAGGTTATTTGGAAAACAGAGAAATGAGTAAACTATAATCTCAACATCCTTGTATAACCAGCTATATTTTTAATCTTTCCTTTCTTCCTTTTATTCATTCTTTCTATTTTGTTTTCGGTTCTGTTTAATTTATTTATTTATTTATTTATTTTTGCAGTTTTTGACTGGGGCCAGGTTTGAACCTGCCACCTCCGGTATCTGGGGCCTGAGCCCTACTCCTTGAGCCACAGGCGCCACCCTTATTTTTCCTTTTGTTTAGAATATGGCCTTCCACATACACCGGAGATGGCAGGTTCAAACCCATCCCAGGCCTGCCAAACAACAATGACAACTACAATAAAAAAAAATAGCTAGGCGTTGTGGCAGGTGCTATAGTCCCAGCTACTTGGGAGGCTGTGGCAAGAGAATCACTTAAGCCCAAGAGTTTGAGGTTGTTGTGAGCTGTGATGCCACGGTACTCTACCCAGGGCAACAGTAAGAGACTGTCTCAATAATAAACAAAGAATATGGCCTTCCAGTTATTTGTGTCCTATAGTGAATAGTCTAGGTATAGTTGGATTCATATTCATTTCTCAACATTACTGAATTATTTGATTTTTACTTACAAATCAATATGACTTAACTTTTAAAAAAATCTTTAAAGTTTCTATTATTAAGCAAATCAACATGTATAATATTTATTTGAAATGGTTCAGACATAGTTTTCTTCAGAAAACATTATAGCTACTAGATGTCTTTTCATCATATCACCTGTACAGAACCAAAAATTTGTGTCATTAATAATTTTATTCATTTTGAATTTATCTTCTGTAAAGAATAAAAACATTATTTTAATTTTTGAATACTATTTATTTAATTTTCAAACCTTGCCATACAGAAAACCTTTTTTCTTTTCCAACATTTTTACATTATTTGTGATGGGTACAGAGGGATGACCATAAAGGGAATTTAAAGACCAGGGGATAATAGCAAGAAAAGTCCACCTTCTGAAGCTAAAACCAGAAAAATTGATATGTCGTGAATGAATAAATCATTATTTACTAGACCTCCTCAAAATATTAGTGTACAAACACGCTTTAATGCAACTACTATGTTTCCAGATCTCTACCCAGAGATTGGGCCCAATTGTAGGCAACCTTAATTAGGATGTAATGGTATGAGGAAATGATGGCCAGCTCAACTGAATTATAATCCTACCAAAAAATAAAAAATGACAATTGAAAGATATTTACTATTTACTTCCTTATTTGTTTTTGAGTTATAATTCACATACCACGAGATTTACTTTTTTTTTTTTTGAGACAGAGTCTCACTATGTTGCTCTTGGTAGAGTGCTGTGGCATCCTAACTCACAGCAACCTTCAACTCCTGGGCTCCAGTGATCCTCCTGTCTCAAACTTCCAAGTAGCTGGGACTACAGGCACCTACCACAAAGTCCAGCTAGGTTTTAGAGACAAGGTCTCGCTCTCCTGACCTCTAGCAATCCACCTGTCTTGGCCTCCCAGAGTGCTAGGATTACAGGTGTGAGCCACCACTCCCAGCCATAAAATTTACTCTTGAAAGTATACAATTCAGAGGCTCTTAGTTTATTTACAAGTCTCTACAACTATCACTACTATATCTAATTCTAGGAAATATTCATCACCACCAAAAGAAACCACATAACCATGAATGATCACTCTTTCCCTATCCCCTAGTACCCTAACCCTCAAACCACTAATCTACTTTCTATCTATATGAATTTTCCTAAAAGTGGAATCAGATACGATGTCTCCTTTTGTGTCTGGCTTCTTTCACATAGCATAATGTTTTCTAAGATCATTCATGTTGTGGTATGTACATGTCTGAGTCCTTTGTTCTTTTTTGCAGCTGAATAATAAATACTTCATTGCGTGGTTGTATCACATTTTATTTATCCATTCATCAGTGAATGGACATTTGGATTGTTTCTGGCTTTTGGCTATTATGAGTAATGTTGCTCTGAACATCCATGCACAAGTTTCTGTGTGGACATATTTCTTCAGTTCTTTTGGTTCGATACCGAGGAGTGGCATTGCTGGGTCATGTGACAACTCTGTTTAACATTTTAAGAAACTGCCTGGCTATTTTCCAAAGTGGCTGTACCGTAATCCCACCAACAGTATTTAAGGGTTCCAATGTTTCCATGTCCTCCTCAATGCTTGTTATTATTTGCCTTTTTTATTATATCATCTTAGTGAGTGTAAAGAGGTTATCTCATTGTGGCTTTTTGTAATTTTGACTTGCATCTCCTCAACGACCCGGGATGTTGAGCATCTTTTTGTGTGACTGTCGGCCATTTGTGTAAATTCTTTGGAGAAATGTCTGATCTAAATCTTTTAACCTGTTTTTCAAACAGAGTTGGGTTTTTGCTGTGGAGTTGTGAGAATTCTTTATATATGTAGGATACTAGATCCTAATTTTTTTGAGAGCTGAAAACATTGATGCTGACAAAAATTTCCAGCTTTCTCACTGACTTTATGGAGGAGGAAGCTTCTGAGGTCTTCACTCCACCATTTTCACGGATGTCACTCCTTGCTTATTTATTCATTTAACAATTTGTTGAGCTTTATGAGCACCATTTGCACGTCATGTCCCCAAATGAAGAAGACAAGATTCCTGCCTTCATGTATCCCATAGAGTATTAGGAGAAGACAAGTTTGAATGAATTTAATTGTAATAAGATACCATGAGCTCTACCATAGGATTCTTTGCAAGGTGGAATGTGCACACACCCTTATAACTCAACAACAGAAAGACGAATAACCCAATTAAGAAAATAGGCAATGGACTTGACAAGAGAGAGAGCTGAAGATCCTACCTGGGTGGGTGGTTAGAGATAAAGAATCAGAAAAGTTTTCATAGAGGAGACATAGTATCTGATTCCAATCAGAAAAATTTTAGATCTCTTGAAAGGAATCCAAAGGGTCAAAATTTGCTGGTATGTATGTCTCCAGCACTGCACAAGAAAGAGGCATCCCATCCGCCAAAGGTTTTCAGATTTGCTTATCAGTTATGTTCCTTTGGTGGAGGTGGTTGCATCATAGCTTGTAAGTACCATCCTTTACGATTAGATAGATATAAATATATAGAGATAAATTTGTCTCTAAATAAGTAAATTTGCCAAAGTGATAAGAAAGCAACCTATGTCTATATATTTACTGCAATAAATCTACATCAAAAAAAATGAGAGCCAGGCGCAGTGATTCACACCCGTAATCTTAACACCTTGGAAGGCTGAGGCAGGTGGATTGCGTGAGCTCAGGTGTTTGGAGACCAGCCTGAGCAAGAGCAAGACCCTGTCTCTACTAAAAATAGAAAAACTAGCTGGGTATTGGGTTGGGCACCTATAGTCCCAGCTACTTGGGGGGCTGAAATAAGAGGACCTATTGAGCCCAAGAGTTTGAGGTTGCTGTGAGTTATGACACCATGACACTCTTACCTAGGGTAAGAGTGAGACTCTGTCTCCAAAGAAAATAAACCAATAAGAAAAATACTGTGATTCCAGTAAACATACAGACTTGTAAAGAACATAAATATTAAATAATTGACTAAAAAACCCAAACTTTAGTCAACATTGCCAAATGCAATATTACTATACATTAAAACCTCCATAAGTTGTAACAAACTGTGAAACATAAGGCACTAGGCCTAATGTACTGATAGGTACATGTGGTGCCTGTCCGGTCTATGTAAATTACGTCCACTTAAAGAGGTGGTCAACCATGGAGGATGTACTATAGTTCACATATTTGGAGGGCCCACACTGACCCCCTTCTCAGACTTACCACACAGTAACACGAGGAGGAGAGTTCTGCCGTAGAGCAGGCGGGGGGGCCTGAAGAAGCCGTGACTCTGTTTCTTCACCATCCAACTCCTCAGGACTGTACTCAGAGTCGGTATTCCCTTCTCGCATTTGATATAACCTCAGCTTTTTATTCAGCAGAGCCATGTCCTTGCAAAAATCCTGGGGGGAAAACAAAAGCATCAACTATCTTTAAAAACAACAAAAGAATATTCCCTCTGTATTCTGGTATTTTTTTTTTTTTTTCTGAGACAGAGCCTCAAGCTGTCACCCTGGGTAGAGTGCTGTGGTGTCACAGCTCACAGCAACCTCCAACTCCTGGGCTCAAGAGATTCTCCTGCCTCTGCCTCCCAAGTAGCTGGGACCACAGGCGCCCACCCCCATGCCTGGTTATTTTTTGGTTGCAGCCATCATTGTTGTGGCAGGCCCAGGCTGGATTCGAACCTTCCAGCACAGGTGTATGTGGCTGGCGCTTTAGCTCCTTGAGCCACAGGTGCTGAGCCCCCAGTCTTAATATAGATGATGCAGAGTGCTTTCCCTGTGGAACGCCTCAGAGTTTCTGTTAGAAATCATGTGTAAGTCATGCAAGGACCTGAGGAGATCCCTGGCAGGTGGACAGAAAGGGACTTACACATTCACAGTGTAAGGTAGCACCATGGTAGAAAATTAAACGAAACCAACATGCTAATCTTTAGGTATGGGGTTGTTTGTGTAGGAAGATATCCCTGCACTGAATTCATCTCTTCAAATTGTTCATCTATCAAAACACACTTATGGAGAGACTACTTTCTATCAGGCACTATTCTAGAATACAGTGGTTAACAACAGACAAAGAATGTGCAATCTATTACATGTGTATTTATTGAGGCAGGGGTGCAAATAATAAACCTCTAAACACACATATTAGATATTATAGATTGGCCGAGCACAGTCGCTCACGCCTGTAATGAGCCACCATGCTCCCTCCTAGCACTCTGGGAGGTTGAGGCAGGTGGACTGCTGGAGCTCAGGAGTTCAAGACCAACCTGAGCAAGAGCAAATCCCATCTGTAAAAAATAGCTGGGCATTGTGCTAGATGGCTGTGACCCGAGCTACTTGGGGTGGGGCAAGAGGATTGCTTGAGCCCAAAGTTTGAGGTTGCTGTGAGCTATGACGCCACAGCTCTCTACCCAGGGTGACACAGTGAGACTCTGTCTCAAAAGAAAAAAAAAGTAGATATTATAGATTAAGGAATGTGCTAAAGAGAAAACAAGGTGACAAAGTAGAGAGTAGTTTGTGATGAGGACATCTACTCTAGATAGGTGGAATGAGTGGGCACCTCTGAGCAGGTGAAAGGTCCATTCATTCATTCATTCATTCATTGTTTCATTCACCCATTCACATTTACCTGAATGTCTAAAATCATGTGGGAGGAGTTCAGAAATGACATCATTTTTCAGGCTAGGGGAGATTAGGAGAGGTCTGGAAGAAGAGATGAAGTTTCAGCTTAGCCTCAACAAATGGGTGATATGTAGACACGGAGGATAAGCTCCAGATAGCAAGATGAGAAGCAGAAGTCCCACACCACAGGGTGTGAGAGCTTGGGAATACACCAGAATTGGGAGATGTTCTGTGGGCCCAAAGCAGGACACTGAGGGGGCTAGAAAGAGACCAGAACGTGGGGCATGCACAATTCTAGGGTAAGAATTACCCCTATATTTAGATCACCTGATTTTATCTTTGAACGTATAAGGCTGTGAAAACTTACCTCCATTCTTTCAATGAATTTCTCCTTTAATGCATTAGCTTCATTACAAACACCTGCCTAAAAAGAAATCCACAATTCTGCGTGAAATACAAATTCTATTCTTTGGTTTATACCATAAAATCTTACTCATTTCAGACCCCACTTATAAAGGGGCTCCACTAAAATTTACTTTTCCTCAGTAAAATCCTTCCTCTTAGAGAAAATTCATAGTGTAATCACGAATTGCGAATTGGAAGAGGAATAACCAAAAGATTAACAAGATTATTATCAGTCCTTTTGAAGTATACATTTAAACAATAGCAGCTCGTTTGAAATCATCCTTCTCTCTATTCATTACTCTGTTCTCGCTCTTTCAAAATCTTCCACCAGGACACTAGTTGGAGAAACATAGTGTGTTTCTGAGAAAATAAGAAAAGATAAATTTTAAATATTTAAAATTTCATAAATTATAGATAGAGGTCCTTGTTATGTCCGATTAAATATCCAGGCCCTATGGTTTAGCAAAAGGGCAGTCCACAGAAAGATCTGGTTCATCTTGTCTTCCCATGTGCCCTACAGGGTGTCAGATAAAGATAACAGAAGGTTTGGGCTGGTTTCTGTCAGTAAGAACAAGACCCAGGCTGAAAGCAAACCATCACCTTCCAAGACACAAGTGCCAGTGGGACATACGTCACGAGGAAAGAATGCTTTTAAAGGTTTTTAATTAATCATCCCATAATAGACTTGCAGAATACCTTGAAAAGCGGCGTTATAGCAGGAAGAACAGTATTCTAGGATTTAAGAAAGATGAGTTCCAGGGACGACACTTCTAGAAACGGATTCTTTAAAAAGTACTTGCAAGAGCCACCAAGACATGGCTTTTTGAGACACACAGTTTATAATGGCAGACATTGATTATAAGATCTCAAATATACAGCAGGATCAATTTGATCAATTCAAACACCAACCCTTGCATTATATAGTGGGGGAGGGGGCGGGTACGTAAAATGACGTCTGCTGGCATAGAAAATTGTTGAAGAAAAAAATGCGAAGCGCAAAAGCAAGTTATAAAACAATCTGTATATTAGGATCTCACTAAAACAATAATCATGTGTAAAAATAGGTATAAAAAATTGAAAGAATATATACACACTAAGATATTCATTGTGTTTGTCTTTGAGGGAGAGGGATTGTTTTTCATTTTTTAATAGTTCTGTAATGTTTTAATCATTAAAAGAAGCATGCATTACATTTGTTAGGAGAAAAAAATACAGATATATGCATGAGAGCAAGAGTGAGATTGCTTTTTTTTTTTTTTTTGCAGTTTTTTGGCCAGGGCAGGGTTTGAACCCACCACCTCTGGTATATGGGGCCAGCACCCTACTCCTTTGCGCCACAGGTGCTGCCCGAGACAGCTTCTTTTCAATTGGAAATATTTATCTTTTGGAGTCACACTTTTCTTTTGAAAATGATGGTATAGACTACATGACAGGAAATTCCCCTCAGGGTCGAAAATTCTGAGTTTATCTTTCATCGAATTTTAGATTCCATTCCCTGAAATTCTCTACATCTGAGATTTCTTTGAAGAACTGTTTTCCTCCTTAGTTATAAAGCCATTTTGTCATTACCTGGTTAAATTTGTTATCCATTTCTCCTAATTGCTTTCTAATTTCTGTGATCTTCTCCTATTAAAAAAAAAAGAGTATAAAACAAAAGTGGTAATGAATGATGTGCAGAATTGAAACAGAATGACTGATTTTGAGGAGAAAGAGTATTTGTCACTTAAAAAAAAGTTTGGGATTTAATAGAAGCTGGGTTGTTTTCCTCCACAGTGTCCAACATTAAATCACATCCTATGTGAATGGCCATTGAGCTAGGCGTTGTGCTGCTTGGATATAAGAAATAGGAGTATTTAACCTCAAGCAGCTTATAGGTGAATCAGGAAATGTATAGTCCACTCTCATTTTTTACCAAGTTTATTCATCACCAACCCCTAAATTGTTTAATGATTTAAAGATAACAATGCAGGCCAGTGTGGTGGCTCACACCTGTAAACCTAGCACTCTGGTAGGCTGGGGAAGGCCAGCCTGAGCAACAGCAAGACTCTGCTAAAGAAAAAAGGGAAGGAAAGGAAAGGAGAAAAAGAAAAATACACTAGGCATGGTGGTGTGTGCCTGTAGACCCAGCTATTCTGGATGCTGAGGCAGGAAGACCCCTGGTACCAGGTGTTTGAGGTTGCTGTGACACTCTAGCCCAAGCAACAGAGTGAGACTCTGCCTCAAAAATAAAGATTACTGGGATGGGGTCAGTCTTAAAATGAAAGGCTAGCTATTCACATGGAGATTTCAGAAAACTTTGCGTGAAAGTGGGGGATCAATATCTGGAAACACCCAAAGGTCCCGTGAAAGTCCTTTCTGTTCCTTAAAGTTCTTCTAAATACATTTATTTTGGCTTGACATCTGTAGCTCAGTGGTTAGGGCGCCAGCCACATAAACCAGAGCTTGCAGGTTCGAGCCCGGTCCCAGCCTGCCAAACAATGACAACTACAACCAAAAAATAGCCAGATGTTGTGGCAGGTGCCTGTAGTCCCAGCTACTTGGGAAGCTGAGGCAAGAGAATCACTTAAGCCCAAGAGTTGGAGGTTGCTATGAGCTGTGACACCATGGCACTCTACCCAGGGCGACATAGTGAGACTCTCTCTCTCTCTCTCTCTCTCTCAAAAAATAAAATCTGTTTCTGTCTTGCTCTTTCTAAAACAGTTTTACCAATTTCTCCTCCTTCCCATTGCATGCCTTTCTCAGTCACTCCATTTCTTCCTGAGGAATAAAGGAGCCAGTCCATGTGATGTGGTTTATTTTCCTTTTAACTTTCCCATATTTTATTTGCTGTTCCTATAGCTATTTCTAACAATCTTCACTTTTCCCTTCACCCAAGTAAACCTACAGCCATCCTTACTAACTTTGCTTTTGTAACAGTTATATTTAAAGTTTCATATTTTTATATATTACTATATTTGTTTTATGTAACCTTTTCTTTTGAGACAGAACCTCAAGCTGTCCCCCTGGGTAGAGTACTGTGGCATCACAGCTCACAGCAACCTCCAACTCCTGGGCTCAAGCGAGTCTTCTGCCTCCACCTCCCACGTAGCTGGGACCACAGGTGCCCACCACAAAGCCCGGCTATTTTTTGGTTGCA